ATCTTCTTGTCCGCCCGCACCTCCCACGCATGACCCTTCTGTCACTTTGGCTTCCTGTAAGATATAGGGCTCAATTTAAACATCTGGTTCTTGCTTTCAAATCTCTACATAATGCTGCTCCCACCTATCTATCCTCACTAATAAACAAGTATGTCCCGTCTAGGCCCTTAAGCTTTGCTGAAGACTTACGTCTATCTTCTTTTCAAATAATTTTTATTGAAAGTTTTGCAAATTTTACAACAAATTATAAAAACATTGTAATAAAAAGAAGGGGGGGGGGGAAGGGGTGAACTTGGAAGGAGGAAGGGGAAGGTCCATCCTTTATTATATTCAATGCAGTAGTGTATAAGGCATATAAATCATACGATACTGTACATTTATAAAGCAAGTTTTTACAAGTTATAGACTTTTGTTACTTCAACTTCCAGTAAATCCCAGTGATATTTTAATGTAGCGAAAATGTTTGAATTATTTCTATGTGACAGTTCGTGAGATTTGTTATCGATAGTCAATTTTAGCACTTCTACTATCAAAGGTGTATGTTTAGTTTTCCAATATCTAGGTAAGCACAAAGTGGCAGCTATTAGAATGTGGCCTATTATTATTTTATTAATTCTACTAACGGACTCAGGGAAAATTTTAAATAGAGCTAGTTCTGATGTTAAAATGGTAATACAATCAGTTGGTATATCTTTCTCTAATAATTGGTTATTTTTGGGAAATACCACCACACGTGGGCCATGTTGCTCAATCCACCACAGTCTCTCCAACATCTATCTGAATACTTGTTATTCATATTATGTAGTTTAGACTGAGCCAGGTACCAGCGGTATAGGATTTTAAAATGATTTTCAAAATGATTGGAACAAAAAGATTATTTTTAGCGCTGAAAAAAAACTAAACCATTTTGTTAATTCGTATTGGGCACCCAGCTCCGCCTCCCAAGATAGCATATGTTTAAGTTTGACATTAGGTTTGTCATTGTGTGTTAAATAACATAGTGATATCGTACCTTTCCTATCCGGGTCATGTAAAAACAATTTTTCCAATGGTGAATTTTCCAGTATTTTGTAATTTTTGTCTGTGTCTGTTATTTCATATAATTCTTTCAATTTATCAATCACCCTCAAACATTCAGCTTTACATTCATCTCTCAATTGGTGTTTGAATTGCAGTTTTTCAAAAAAATCATCTATATTGTTCAAATGGTTAGTCTTCAATAAATCCGGATTTAAAGAGGGCAGATAATGCTTCATTAATTCTATCGGCATAGCCCTATACACTTGTGCTGAGTGACAATTATTTTTGTGCACTACATCCCAAGTCTTAAGAGTAGTTTTGGTGGTAAGGAATAATTTAGTAACTACAGGCCTTCTTCCAGAACTTAACCAGGGCAATTCTTTGAGTTGGAATGGGAGAATGTTAGAATGTTAGATTCTTCTATGTCCATCCATCTAGGTTTATTGAATTGGCTATTAAAACTTACCACCACCGCAGCATTGTTTGCGAAATAGTATTTTTGAAAATTAGGTACTCCTATACCCCCCATGTGCTTTATGATGCTGCAGGGATGAAAGCTTAATTCTACTGGGTTTATTTTTCCAAATAAATTTTGATATTGTTGAGTGCATTTTGTTAAAAAAGGACAGCGGAATGGATAAGGGTATGGTCCTAAAATAATACAGAATTTTTAGAAGGATGGACATTTTGATAGAGGCAATTCTCCCTAACCATGAAATTTCCATCCCTCCCCATCTCTCCATCTCTTTTTGTAGGTCCGGCCATGCTTTTTTTAAGTTGTGTATATGCATATTGGTTAAGTTTTTACATAAGTTAATTCCTAGATACTCTAAATATTCCTCTCTCCAATCAAATGGATAAATTGATTTTAGGGCGGCTATGTCAGATTTACTCATATGGAGTGGTAAGGCCTGAGTTTTAGATTCATTCAGTTTATAATAAGATATCTCTCCAAACTGTAACAAGATATCTTTAAGACATGCCAAGGATTTTGTCGGATTTCTGAGCGCAAGGATGACATCATCCGCAAAGAGGCCAATTTTGTGGGTAGATCCTTTAATATCTATACCTTCGATGCCTGGGGTCAGTCTAATTAATTCGGCCAAGGGTTCCATTGCTAGGACGAAGAGAACTGGGGATAAAGGGCAGCCCTGGTGTGTCCCATTGGTAAGGGAAAAAGCTCTTGATTGAAAACCCGAGGCCAATACATGTGCTGTAGGGACACTATAAAGTGCTTTAATCGCATCAATAAAGGACGAAGGTATGTTAAACTTCTGTAGTGTTGTCCGTAAATACCCCCAATGTACTTTGTCAAACGCCTTCTCTGCATCCAATGAAAGGATCAGAGAAGGTGTTATTGTCGAATTAAATTTATGAATCTTCTTGTGCAATCGGGAGCTTGTCTGCCTTGAACAAAACCCACTTGATCATTGTTAATCAGTAGAGGTAACAATTTGGCTAATCTATTGGCTAGTACTTTAGAATATATTTTCAAATCATTATTGATCAGGGATATGGGCCTAAAACTGGAACATCTATTTGGAGCTATTCCGGGCTTTGGCAACGTGACAATTTGAGCGCACAAGGACTCCTCTGGCATCTTCCTCCCGGACTTATAGGAATTAAACAATTTGGTCATATGGGGTATTAAAATTTCTGGAAAGGTCTTATAGTATAAAATAGTGAATCCATCCGGACCAGGGGCCTTTCCAGTAGGCATAAGTTTGATTGCCTCGGTTATCTCAGCTTCAGTGATATCACACTCTAAATTTTTTAAACTGTCAGGAGACAACCGAGGCAATGACACTTTATCTAAAAAATTATTAATTGTTGCCTCTGTCGGCTGGGTGAGAGCCAAATCCAATTTCAAGTTATAAAGGTCACTATAATAATTTGCAACACTAATGTTGGTTGGATGAAATAGTTTGTTTCCCTGGTCATCTAATAAATAAGCTATTTTTGATTGGGCGTTCACGTGCCGGAGTTTAGACACCAGAAGAGTTGAGGCCCTATTGCCTTTTAAATAAAACGTTTTCTTAAGGCGTCTCATGAGAGATGTATGGTCTAAATAAATTTTATTAATTTTTGCTTTAATCTCACCTATCATTGCTGACAGGGTGGAAGATGGGCCAAATTTGTTTGCTTGGTTTAAATTAGAAGTGCCCCTAGATTTGGCTTTATAAGTACAGTGGTGTTGGGAAGGAAATAGTCGTGACATGAAGTTATAGTCTTTTCCTTCTTTTAAATGTGTTTCCTGGACACAGACAATATCCGATTTGTTGGATTTGACTTCTTTAAACGGTAATCGTCTCTTGTGGACGGTGTTCAGGCCCCTCACATTAAATGATAAAAATGTAAGAACCATATTTTAATTCGGAGAGCATTGCTAATGGAGGCAAAATGACTATAATGCGAGGGGCCGAAGTTCCGCTCCACAAGAGAGGTGTTAAAAAAATCCAACAATCGTAACAGAAATCGAATTTGTTGAGACAATGTTAACCTTGCTAAAACATTTGAGTCATGTACTATGTAAAATCACATTACTAATTTGTATCATATAAAACCAATCTAAATTTGCGGGAGAATGGATGGGCCTAAAAAAAAACAATAAAAAACAGGGGTAAAAAAACTTGTGAAAGAACCCCAGGGGTAAATTGTGAATGTTAATGAAAAAAAGGGCCATGAGGGAGAATAAAAAAAATGTCTCCATCTCAGGGTATTAGGCCCAGGTTGGGGGGAGGAAAGACTATCTGGGACAAGGGGACCGATGCAAGCTTTGAGAAAAAAACTAAAATACAACAACCTGATAAAGAAAAATAATCAAAAGAAAAGAAGACCTTTCAGTCCTGGGATCTCTACTAAGCTAAATAATTTTTAGGGCAGGCCAAACAAAAAGAAAAATTATCTTATGCAATTACAGAATAAGGTCTGAAAGAAAACTATATCAAAAACATCAGAAAAGAATTCTTGCAGACTGCCGTGAAACTGAGAAAATCCACAAGATAGATTGCTATCGTCTTAACATATCCCAGAGTTAAGAGAAGAAAAAAAAAATCAATAGCATTATGCAGAAACAAGGTTGTCATAAAGTCATGCAACTAATTAAGCATAGAATAAAAAGTACATCCAATACGTTATGAAAAGAAAAGCTGGCAGCTTGTAAACCAGGTCCTATATCAATTTTGTTGGAGCCATGAATCAAATCTCGTTGGAGTTTATAAATGCAACAAAGAAAAGGAAAGAAGAAAAAAAACGTGAGTGGGCTCAAGTGTCATCTGCCTTGCTTCTCTTATGAGCATGGTGTGGGGTTGATGGTGAAAGAGTACGAAACTGAGTCTGTCGTCTATTAGTAGTGTTAACGAATTCCATCCCTTCTTCAGGAGAGGTAATCGTGAAATTTCGTCCGTCCATATTAAAAAGCACTTTTACAGGGAATCCCCATCTGTAGCGTATCCCTCTTTGTCTCAGTTCGGCCGTGAGGTGCTGGAATTCCCTGCGGCGCTTCATTGTGTATGCCGAAAAATCTTGAAAGATCTTAATATTCTTGTATTCCTCAGGGAGACCTGATGTGCGTATGGTACCCAAAAGTTCTTCTTTAACGTGAAAAAAGTGTAGTCTTGCTATGGTATCCTTTGGTGCCGCTGCAGGTGCCTTGTTAGATTTAGGTAGTCTATGGTTGCGGTCTACTAGTAAATCCAAATTAGTAGCCTCTGGTAAAATTGTTTTGACCATTGTTTGGAATTATTTTAATAAGTCCGAAGTTTCTACACTGTCAGGGATCCCCCTGATTCTCGCATTGTTGCGCCTGCTCCTGTCCTCGGAATCAGCTATTCTTTCTGCTTGCTGATTAACCTGTTTTTGAAGCTCATTTACAGTATTTACCAGGTCCACATGAGAAGATTCTTGTACAGACATTCTATGTTCAACTTCCTCCGTGCTTCTCCAGAATTCCATAGATATTATCAAAATCTTTTTTAAAGTCATTTTTTTAAGTACACTCGCAGGTCCTGTATTAGTTGAATTATTAAACCAGCCGACGGTGGTAAATCTTCAGCCATTTCCAATGGCATATTAGGGTTATACGTCATAGCCTTAAATCCAGTAGAAGTCATTTTGGATGAGGCAGTGACATGGCATGTCAAAGTGATGGCCATCTTGATTGTGGCAACATCTGGGTCATTAGTGGCATCCATCTTAGTGGTGGCAATGTTTCTATTCCTTTGTGGTAATGGGGTTGTTAATGCTATGTTGTGAGCATCTACCATACCATAAACATCAGGGCTCTCTGTGGCCCTATCATTATCAGTGGTGTGAGGGGAACGAGTGGCAGAGTTCCCCCCCACCATGTCCGACCGTCGTGAGGCCGAGGACCATGACGGGGAGCGGGATCTCCCACCTCCCGCCCCCTCTTCTTCAGCCCGGTCACCTTTATATATTAGGGAACGGGCTGCTTTACAAGACAGCCATGAGCGGCTCAGTGACCCACCTGCTCCACTCGCGGGAGCCGGTTCCACTCGCTCTGAGCTTGTCATATGCTTGGAGCGATCGCTACTGCCTCCGTGATGAGCGGCATTCGCGGCCGCATATGTGCGATTATGTGAGAGGGAGTGAGAAGAGGATTGGGGTTTACCCGCTGCTGTCAACGAAGTATTATGTGGCGAAATAAGCCGCGGTGCTGCAGATTGAGAGGGGGAGTGGGCTTGCATGCCTTTACTCACTCCCCCACTGCAGATTTTTCAATCCTCTTGGTTGCAGAAGCTTTTTTTCAATATTATTTTGCTTCTGCATCATGATGTACAGTGTTTCTTATGCAGATCTATGTACTTGAAATTGTTACATGCGGATTACAAATTGTATTTATGAAACTAAATGGTCCCAATGTCTCAGGAGCTTCCCTAGGTGGTGGCCATTCTTCAAGGTGGTGGCCAAACTCCGCCCCCCCTTACTTCTATCTTCTGTCCGTACTTCCACCTCTGATGCTCGCCTTCAAGACTTCTCCAGGGCTGCACTATTCCAGTGGATCTCACTTCCCTCCTCCGTTAGATGCTCACCCAGTCTCCACTCCTTCAAAAAAATCATTAAAAACCCACTTCTTCATAAAAGCGTATCTATTAAACTGTTAATAGCTCCCTAACTGATTCCTCTCTTGCAACTGTCATTAGTCTCCTTACCTTTTGTGTAACTTTACCCCAACCCCTCTGTTCCTGTGTGTCCAACTTGTCTGGTTACAACTACATGTCTGTTCGTCCACCCACTGTAAAGCGCTGCGGAATTTGTTGGCTCTATATAAATAATAACATAATAATAATAATAATAATACATATTTGCACTTCTTTTATACATATATGTTTTTTTTCAATCTGTTTTTTTTTTATTATTGAGGCATTTGATTCAGGTCAGACAGAAACGAAGAGGAGTTAGGTCAGGCTTACACAAGTACAAGATTATCAGAACACAATGGAGCAAGCTCCTAGATATGGCAGCTTCAGTTTTTTTTTAAATGAATAAAGCATGTTAAATAAAGCTAGGTAAGCCTGTCTATATATGCAGTATAGGCAAACATACAGTCATAGAGAAGTGACATGAGCTAGACATAAAAGAGATTTCAGTATGTTAAGTTAGGGTTACTTGAGAAGTTAACCACTGAGCCACCAGACACTATCACGGTACAGGGGAGACTAGGGTAGGCCTTAATGCTATGTCCAGGGTTATTAAGTAAGTGTAAAGGCAAGGAGTAACTGTAATTGGCTCGATATAGGGTTGACAGGCACACAGATATAGCCCTGTAAAAACAACCCTCTAGTAAATCATTGCAATGTATAGGACACATAGGTAAAGTAAGCATTAAACAAAGATTAAAGAGAACTTAAACAAAAATAAAGATGACATGGGTAATCACTAGAGACCTTCCGCAGACCGTGATTATAGACCATGGATCGTGGGTTTAAAGTTCAGCATCAGCCAACTCCTAGACTTGGGGACTTGCGTGAGTGGCCTGGAGTCAGTTGAAGGAGGGGGCTAAGCATGGCTTTCCTCCAGCCCTGGGCTGTGTTGAGGGCTTGCATCAGTATACCACGGACTCACGGCTGAGTCCAAGTCCTTCCCTAACGGGATGTGGCAAAAGCCCTGGATGGATGTTCGGCGCCTGTGGCGTTGGGTCTTCTGCCTCCTTGGTTGATGCTTAGGGAGGATATCCATGGTGGCTCTCGACCCAGGCGGGTTCAGCAAGGGGATCTTAACTGCTTGACAAGGAGTTGAGTCAGGAGGTGTCTCACGGACCCCTTCACCTTCACTCTTCCGTCAACTTTCCCGGCTCTGTGTTACTGCCATGATTCGAGCTTCAAGCTGCGCTCAGAAACAGGTGAAAACCTCATCCAGATGCATCAGCATGTGGTCCAGTGCAGTACATCCAGCTTGCACTTCAGGCATTTTCTAAAGTTTAGGAGTAGAAGGCATGTCTGCCATTTTGAAGAGTAGCCTTGTGGTCTAAACGCCAGCAGTGTCGACTGCGTATGGTCAGCGAGATGAGTGGAGCCAATCAGTGGAAACCAGGATCACACCAACCGTCCAAAGGGGGCGGGGGGGAGATAAACAGGAGTCTCAGCGTCAGCCGCAAGCCTCTAGAAGGACTTCCCAGAATCGGGGGTGCATGTGTAGGGTACAGCAGTGCTCCCGGGTAACGATTAGTAAAGGTTGCCGTCAAAAAAACCCATAAGTAGCAGGGATATTTATGTGTTCATCATACCCTCCAGTTTTACGAACATTCTTGTTTTATTTGTTTTATTCCTACATACCTCTATACACACCAGGGAATTGATGCATTTTTTATAACCAAAATTCAGAGAGATTCAGACGAGGAAGGGAGTTTACAGCCGACCGACTGAGCCAAAGTTCCAACTGGGGAATTTTAGTGCTGTGCACATATATTAGAGCCAAGTCTGGGCTCTACATCTCGTAAGTGGATAGTACTATCAGATCCACGTTTAACACGCTGTTTAAGCTTAGTGACTCCTGGGTTTTAACATTATACCCTCTCTATCTGTTTTACATGCAGATAACACAATTGAAATGCTGTGGCGGGACCTTAAGAGAGCTGTGCATACATAAATGCCAGCAAACCTGAATGACCTAAATTAACATTGTAGGAGTGGCCCAAAATTTCTCCTCAACGATGTGAGAGACTGATAAAGTAATCAAAAAAACGATTATTTCAAGTTATTGCTGCTAAAGCCCATTCTACATGCAATTGAATCATAAGGTGTTCTTAGTTTTTCACACATGGCTTCTTGATTTTGGCTTTATTTTTTTTAAATAGATCATGACACTGTGTAATATGTCATGTGTTGTTCATCGAGGTTGTATTTACCTAATTCTAAGACCTGCTGATGAACAGATGATTGTTATTATGTCGTGATATTTAAAACCATAGAATGAAAAGAGGGTGTTAAAATTATTATTTTTTCAGTGGCACACATATATTGCGAGACAATGGAAAACATTGCCTCCCAAAGTGGCGCAGACTGATGCCAAGATACTGCACTTTCTTATAATGTTACCTAATAGTTACCATTCATGAAACCACTACAATTATTCTGGTCACGCTGGCTGGCTGCATACTTTTTCTCTCTCATGGACTTCTCCCATGAATCTGTTATAATGGCCTCCCTTAAAGGGTTACTTCAAGCATCATAACCACTACAGCCTGCTGGGGAAAAAAGTTTACAAACTATATTCCCTCTTACCTGGGTCCCTGCTGGGCTCCGAGACTCCCTGTTGGTCTTGTGACGCGCTTCCAGTTTCTGCAGCTCTGCAGAAAACACAGCCATTGCAATTCACTGGCTCATTAACTTTTTTTTCAGAACTTGAAAACTTAATAAAGATAAATTACACACACAAAAAAAAGAAAATTTAAGGGACTCTGCAGGAAACTTAATCACTACACCAAGCTGGCCCAGTTTAGGAACAGTTTGACAAAGCTTGGGACTCTGAACAAAACCTGGAGACCACCCTGCTTTATCAACGCCAAATCCAACCAACCTGGAAACATAGCTGGGTAACCTGCCTCAGCACACTCAGCCAAACACTATTGCCTTGGCTGAATGAAATTATCATTGATATTGCAGAAGGGTATGTCACGAGCGTGGGCTATAGGCCCAGCCGAGACAGTGGGGGGAGTGTGGAAGTGACAGGGTTAATGACACCAGACCCCTGGTTACCTGTTGCTAGTCCCAGCAACCACTCAATTAACCCCTGCAATCCCTTCTACACTATCCCCTTAGTACTACTGCCACCACCAAGACTTTTAAACCCGGGCGTCTTAGGTTACCCCACACACAGGAGAATTATAGTATCACAGTTCTACTTTTACTGATAAAACATATATAGTTAACCCCTTTTTGGTAACGTGTTTACCTGAGCTTTCCTCTGGAGAGTGAAGCTCATAGAGAACAGAGACACAAGCTGATTAAGTAAACATTTAATCTGACAAAAAGGATTCACAGTGCTGAGTACAAAATACAGAAATAAATGACATACAGATAACAAATTGCAAAACAGTACATAAAATAAAATAGGAGAAAACACAAGAAATTCCTTACATATATTTACCCCATATAGAATTCTTGTGGGAGTCTTAGATGGTATTATTATTATTATTATTATTATTGCCATTTATATAGCGCCAACAGATTCCGTAGTGCTTTACAATATTATGAAAGGGGATTTAACAATAAATAGGACAATTACAAATAAACTTACAGGAACAATAGGTTGAAGAGTACCCTGCTCAATCGAGCTTACATTCTATAGGAGGTGGGGTGTAAGACACATTAGGACATTAGGGGAGGGCAAGAGACAGGTAAGTGAGGTAGGGGTTAGTCTTGGAGGCCATAGGCTTTCCTAAAGAGATGGGTTTTAAGGCACTTCTTAAAAGATGCAAGACTAGGGGAGAGTCGGATGGCGGTAGGCAGGCTATTCCATAGGAAGGGAGCTGCCCGCGAGAAGTCCTGCAAGCGCGAGTTGGCCGTACGGGTGCGGACAACGGACAGGAGGTGGTCACGGGCAGAGCGGAGAGACCGAGAAGGGACATACCTGTGGATCAGTGAGGAGATATAGGAGGGGCTAGAGTTGTTCAGTGCTTTATAGGTGTGAGTTAGTGCCTTGAATTGACTCCTATAGCACACAGGAAGCCAATGTAAGGACTGGCAGAGGGGTGAGGTGTGGGAGAAACGACTAGAGAGGAAAATCAGTCTAGCAGCAGCATTCATTACAGACTGTAGTGGTGCAGTACGGCTTTTGGGAAGACCAAGCAGGAGAGGGTTACAATAATCCATGCGGGAAATTATTA